TTGTTTGTTAGTTTCACCCAGTTTAGGTTTATGTTCTGTCCTGCCCTCACTTCTGTTATTTGCACTGTAAATAAAACCCACTTGCACCTCCACCATTGTCTGCTATTGGATCTTCCTTTCTCACCCTCCACACGACTGCCGCCCCAGCCGTGACAGTTCCATTATACAGTGTTTATGAATTGTTATTATTTGCTTATTGCAAATTTTTCTTGATATCTTTTTGTATTTCATTGACAGGTAAGGCAATTGTTACGATTGCAGGTATGCCATCACATTAACCACATTAACCACAGCATAATTTTGATATGAAAATCTTTAATCGAAACTTTTTTATCTAGGAGCTGGTGGAACTGTGATTCTGACTCCTGCCATTCTGACTACACTGGGGTTCACTTCAGCTGGAATAGCAGCAGGCTCCATTGCTGCCAAACTGATGTCAATGCTTGCAATCGCTAGTGGAGGTGGAGTTGCAGCAGGAGGTCTCGTAGCAATCTTGCAGTCATGGGGTAAACTGAATAATTTGTAATAAATTTTCTCTGTCTCTCTCTTTCTCACTAGCTCCCTCTAAGTGAGTGTCAAACAAAACAAACAATAGACATATTTTATTATATTTTCCTAATAGTACCTAAGAGTAATATTTTAGTCCACTTTGGCTGTTGATGTTTATCTAAATGTCAAAGATATGAAAACACTCTTTTTGCATACATCAGTATAAATAGTGTATGAGTAGTGTATGAGTGAAATAGTGTATGTAAATCAGGGTGTGACAATGAAGAATAAAAGCTTTTCTCATGTTGCACAAGTATAAAAAACAGCTAATAGTGTCTAATGTGATTTCACTGTAGGTGCAGCAGGTCTGTCATGGGTTGCCACTGCATTGTTTGGCAGTGTTGGTGGAGCAGCGGGTTGGATAATCTCAGCTGTGTGTAACCTCAACGTGACTGTGAAATATGAAAATTAACAAACCGAATAAACACAAACTGGCCTTCAAATGTTTCCTGTTGTGTCAAATTAGACTGACTCAATAGCCTGAATTAAAATTTATTTTTTTATGTGTAAAGGACAGACACTCAGATTAAAGCATGATTTGAGAACCGAGTTACAAAAATGATTGATAAAGATTGCTGATGACTTTTACCCATCATTTTTAAAATTACATATATATATGTGTGTGTGTGTGTGTGTGTGTGTGTTAAATTTGTTTAGATTACAGGAATAAGGAAGGATTGGTCTGTGTTTTAGTTTGGCTTAGCTGTAGCCTGAGAATGTGTGTAATTGTTTAGAGAGAAAGGAGTTATGGAGACTGGGAGTCTGCTGTCATAGAAGGAGACAGGAAGCTCCAGTTGGGGGTTGCTGATGCTGATGCTTGTACCTTTAATAAAAACTCATAATTGTTATAACTTAGAAGTAGGTTTGTAGGAGACTGTCCACATGCTTATCTGTAAATGTAAGACAACAAGAGGCCACTGGCCCAGTGGATGCAGAGTGGGAGTCTCACTGTTTGTAATATGTTAACTCTGTTTTGTATGTTGTCTAAGGGAATCTGGTGTAGCTTGGGTGAGGAGATTAC